CGAAGTGTCTCGGCCCAAGCCGAGACACCCAAGGGTGTCTCCATTCTCCCTGAGACACCCAAGGGTGTCTCCACCCGAGTAAGGGTGTCTCCATTCTCGCTGAGACTTGGGTGTCTCCATTCTCCCTGAGACACCCAAGGGTGTCTCCACCCGAGCAAGGGTGTCTCCATTCTCGCTGAGACACCCAAGGGTGTCTCCACCCGAGTAAGAGTGTCTCCACCCGAGCAAGGGTTTCTCCATTCTCGCTGAGACACCCAAGGGTGTCTCCACCCGAGTAAGAGTGTCTCCACCCGAGCAAGGGTTTCTCCATTCTTGCTGAGACACCCAAAGGTGTCTCCACCCGAGCAAGGGTGTCTCCACCCGAGCAAGGGTGTCTCCACCCGAGCAAGGGTGTCTCCACCCGAGCAAGGGTGTCTTAATTCTCGCTGAGACACCCAAGGGTGTCTCCACCCGAACAAGAGTGTCTCCATTCTCGCTGAGACACCCAAGGGTGTCCGCAACCCTAAAAAGTTATTATTTTCGATGTTATGCAGTTTTAACCGCTCAGACTTCCTAGAGCCTATAAATACAGCCCTAGGGCCTTCATTTTTAGGGATCTGGAATTCTCAAGCATTGGCGAAGCCCTGTCGGATTAAAGATCAAAAGTGCACGAATTTTAGAGAGGAGGAGGAATAGAGATCTGATCGAGTTCATCGGCATAAAGAAGAGGAGCTCGTCAGATCTGCAGTTCTCGTGTTCGTCCCTTAAGATTACCCCGTTGTGGTGATCTTAAGAAGAGCAATTATCTCGTTGTTGCCGAGATAAGCGCTACGGTTTCTTGATTCCTTCGCGAATCAACGAAGCTCTGCCCAATTTTTCAGCAATCAGTCTGATCGGCGGTGGTCCACGGATATCAACATCCCCGTCACAGGCCAAGATCCCACGCAAGCAGAAGACCGATAAACGATCTCTGCGTTTGTTTCCGAAATTGGATGAGTTTGTTAGAGTTTGGTGAGGGACTGTTTTCTTCCCTGACTTTATGTCCTATTCTTGAGTTGGGTTGCTGGACAGCTTGCACATGTAGAACAAGTGAAAGGACGAGGCTTAGGTCCCCCGTGGTTCCTCTGACGGCCAAGTTAATTGATGAACTTGAGTGAGAAAAAAGAAGAACTGTGTGAGTTCTTGTAAGTGTGCGGTTTAATTTTACTGATTAGATTAGATCAAAGAAGATCCAGATTTGTGAACCTTTTTTACGTTAGAATAGTACATGTATTTATACCTAGGGTATAAGGACAGATTGGTCACTCTAGCCAAGCACATGAGGGCAGTGGCAAAGTGGGGGCTGACAGCTGAGTCAGCGGATCACTTCAGCATTAAATGGGAAGTGATCGGCGACATGAAAGGGCCTATATGGTCCGATGAGTCATGAAGGCTATTAAGGCCAGAGGCATGATGATGTCTGCCAAACATTAAATATGATGTTGACACGTTACCAATGAGGATAGGATCGAGGTAGAAATTGTCGTTTAGCTTCGTCGATAAGTAACGCCTTTCGAGTCGTCTTTGCAAGGCGTCTGGCAAGTGGTCGAGTGGACTTATGGCGAGTTGTCTTCGACAAGAGGGTCAACTGGTACCTCCTTTCATGTTGACATTGAGGAATGTCGACTCGACGAGTCGGCTTAGTCGGACTCCTCGCTGGTCTTGGGCTGCCAAGTTAACTGGGGCATAGCATACAGAAGTGCACATACCCGTTGCTTAGCAATGAATTACACTTTAATGAATGGGAACACCAATAACAACTATCATGCACCTGAAAATTTAAAATTTATAAAAAATAACCTCAAACTTCTAAAAATTGCAAAAAAAACTCCTTTAGAAGACAAAAATCACAAAAGAAACCCTAAAATTTTAAAACTTATAACCAGTACATATCAAATCTAGAAATTATCAGCAGTCCGTTGAAATTTTAAATTTACAAAAAACAATCCAAAGTTTTAGTAATTGCAAAAAGCACTCTTCAAGTTTTAGAGTTGTAAGAAATATCCTGATATTCAAAAACTTACCAACAATGCACGAAACATGGAAATTACAAACATCTAACTTAAATTTTAAAATTTTCAAAACATACTATCAAACTTTCAAATTTTTCAAAACACAACCTCAAATATTCAAAATCACAAAATAAAGAAAATAAATGAATAATCACAATGCTAAAGTTTAGAGGCATAAGTGAACAAAAACCAACAAAATGGAACCGAGGAATAAATTTTATTAAGGAAACAAATCAAAAATACTTAATCATGGTATTCAACCACGTGCATTGCATGTGCATAAAACCTAGTATATATATAACATCACATAGAAAAATAGCAAACAAAAAGATATACGCAATTCGGATTTAAATACCTGTCTGCGTGAGGCTCATTTATTTTTTGCTATACAAAATAAATATTTATAATTAACCTTGAATCTAGCGGGCCGGGCCGGGCCGGCTTAGGCTGAACCAGGTCATTGATGGGTCGGGTCTACAGTAGGCCGAGCCGCGTCTACAGTGTGTCGGGCCTACTTATTTGGTCACGGGTCTACAGTAGAACGGGTCAGAATAAACACTTCATTATTTACTTACTTCTTAAGGTCTGTTTATTTTTGTAAATATACAATAACAATATGTTTTCATGTCATGTGCATTTGCTAGTGTCAAATTTCTAGTACTTCACAAAGAATCTGGATATGGAACAGACTTCTTCTATTGGGTGTCCATTGACTGTGACTTAGGGCCCGTTTGTTTGCACAGAAGTAACTATGAAATAGCAGAAGTAGAGGCTACTTCTGCTACTTCTTGGAAAAAATGTATGTTTGTTTTTTTGTAAAAACTACTTCCGCTACTTCATTGAAAGCTGACGTGGCGTCTACATGGCACCTCTATTTCCTTGATATTTTTCTATCTTCAAATGCACTGAAATACGGCGAAAGTTGATGTAGGGTGGGGTCCACGAAAGAAAAAAGATTCTCAAAATCATAATTACGACGGAAGTTGATATGTAATCATAAAATTTTTTTTATAAATATTTAAAAAAAAATTATGACAGTGATGCCGTTCATGCATTTTTTGCTTATGTTATTCAATTATCCATGGGACATATTGTTTACTTATGTTGTATTCTTTGCTTCCACTGAGTACTTATGTTGTGTACTTGCTTTTTGTTCGGCCTCACGAGATGTAATCTGTTAATATTTGTCCGAATAGGGAATCTGTTAATATCAGCTGGATTGCTTTTTGTCCGAATAGGGAATCTGTTAATATTTGATTCATCCTCACGAGATCTTCATATCAAGGGACATGTTTTTCAATCATGGAAAATATTCTGATGTAGGACTGTTGGCTTAATTTCTGATGACTTAATTTGCAAACGCATGGCATTGGATAGGACTTTCAAGAGTCCAAGTCAATGTTACTATACTGTGGGTGTAGAATTGAAGACCATATCTCCAAATGAAAGTCCACAAGTAAGCGTGGGTAGTGCGTTAGCTAGGTAAAGTCCACAAGTAAATGTGGGTAGTGCGTTATATAATTTGTAAGTTGATCCACTCTTTCAGTTGACGTTAGTCAACTGGTAAAAGATAAATATTGTGAGCAATCAGCTGGCCTATTTATGTTGAGCATTTTCCCTCGTGAAGTATCAATTTCTTTTATCCTCTATAATCTTCCTTCACTGGCATCAATGGGGACCTACCAGCCTGTCCTCTTAGTGACGCATCTGATGCTATTATTGTTTACCTCATCATCGGCAGTGAAGCATAACAACATTACCGACCTCTCGGCCCTCTTGGCCATCAAAGCCCAGGTCATCGAACGTGATCCAGGCAGCGTTCTATCCGCCAACTGGACCACTGATGCCTCCTTTTGCACCTGGATGGGTGTCTCCTGCAGCCGTCGAAGGCAAAGAGTCACTGCTCTCAACATTAGCAACATGCCGCTCTACGGCACCGTCGAAGGCAAAGAGTCACTGCTCTCAACATTAGCAACATGCCGCTCTACGGCACCATCCCTCCTCACATCGGCAACCTCTCATGCCGCTCTACGGCACCATCCCTCCTCACATCGGCAACCTCTCATTTCTGTCTCTGCTCTGGCTTTCCAACGATAGCTTAGCCGGAACCATTCCTGAATCTCTGGCTCAGCTGCCTCGACTGGAAGTGCTCATGCTTGATCATAATCAGCTTTCAGGTTCAATACCTCCTGCCCTTTTCAACATGTCGTCGCTTATTGAATTTCATCTCGGGTACAACAGTATTTCAGGGACCCTGCCCTCTAATGATAGCAACTTCCATCCGTTGTTCCCTCCTATTATGGCTATGTCTTACAACCAACTCACTGGCAGCATCCCGTATAGCCTTTGCAGTAGTCGTGCTCTTCAAGCTCTGAGCTTGAGTTACAACCAGCTAACCGGAAACATACCGCCCGAGATTGGAAATATGAAGCAACTTAATATATTGTATCTTGGAGGTAACAATCTAACGGGTACCATACCATCCTCTTTAGGTAACCTAACTAACCTGTCCAAATTAAGCCTTGGCAACAGCAGCTTCCATGGGAATATTCCCGAGGAGTTGGGTCGTCTCACGAACCTTGATCTTTTGCATATTAGTTACTGTGGTGGTATTACTGGTCCCATACCAATTTCCCTTTCCAATTTGTCATCACTCACATTCATTGCACTGAACGATAATAGTCTCACCGGACCCGTGCGTTTGCAGTTTGGGAACATGGCTAACCTTTCATACTTGGATCTAAATGATAACAAACTAACTGGAGGAGTTGACTTCCTTGCATCGCTTTCAAACTGCAGAGTTTTAGACTTTGTGGGTGTTAGTGGAAATGAGCTGGATGGCATTCTTCCATGTACGGTTGGTAATCTTTCAAGGACTCTAACATTGCTTAATATTCATGATAATCATATTAAGGGGAAAATTCCTGTTGAGCTGGGTAACCTGTCCGGATTGACGCGATTATCACTGAGCATTAATGAACTAGTTGGAACAATACCGTTTGAAATCACAACGCTACAAGGCCTGCAGTACCTAAGTTTGTATAGTAACAGAATACACGGTTCCATCCCACATGAGCTCGGCCGATTGAGCAACTTGGACACATTCTACCTCAACGACAATAGTCTTTCTGGATCGATACCTGATTCACTGGGCAACATCACCGGACTAGAGGACTTAATCCTTGCTGCTAACAGGTTATCTTCAGCAATTCCTGAAACAATTTGGAGTCTGCCTCGACTAGATTACTTAATTCTGTCACGAAACCTTCTCACTGGATCGTTGTCATTAGCTTTGTGGAACATGGATTTATATGCATTCGATATATCAGTAAATCAGCTGTCGGGTAACCTTCCAAGTCCTCCGAAGTATCTCGAAATCAATTATTTAGATCTGTCAAATAACTCATTCGACGGGCACATTCCTGAATCATTTGGTAATCTTATTAACCTTGATGTCCTAAATCTTTCTTGCAATAAGCTCTCAGGTGTTATACCTGAGTCCTTAGTCAAAATCCGACATCTCAGCGTCCTGAACTTATCTTTCAACAATTTGGAAGGAAATGTTCCAAATGGCGGTGCCTTTTTAAACGTCAGTGCCGTGTCTTTAGAAGGAAATTCAGCATTATGTGGAGCACCCAGATTTGGCTTTCCATCTTGCAATATAATTGATTCTAGAGTTTCTAATCCAGGGAGGCATTTGTTGAGATATATCCTCCCTATTATTGCTTCTGTCGGAATCCTTGTTCTTGGTTTCTGCATCCTATTAAGATTTTGTAGAAGGAGAGCCAGGAGTCTAGCCCCTACTAGCATGCTCTCTCCTACTCACCATAGATTGATCTCATACTATGAGCTTGTTCGTGCCACTGACAACTTCAGCGAGATAAACTTGCTGGGAATGGGTGCATTTGGTTCTGTGTACAGAGGGCTTTTAGATGATGGTCTTCTTGTTGCCATCAAGGTCTTGAATTTGGAAATTGAAGGAGCTTCAAGGAGTTTTGATGCTGAATGTCTTGCTTTGAGGATGGTTCGACACAGAAACCTTGTTAGAATCATTAGCACTTGCTCCAACATGGATTTCAAGGCACTTGTACTCCAATTCATGCCCAATGGAAGTCTGGAAAGATGGCTATACTCCCATAATTACTGCTTGAGCTTGCTTCAAAGGATTGGCATCGTAATCAATGTAGCTTCAGCTATTGACTACCTTCATCATCACCATTCTGAGGTTATACTGCATTGTGATCTGAAACCGAGCAACATTCTTCTTGATGAAGAAATGACTGCACATGTCAGTGACTTTGGCATCGCAAAACTGCTGAGTGGTGTCAGCCAGAGCGTAACCTCAGCAAGCACGGCAGGGACAATTGGCTATATTGCTCCAGGTTAACTAAAATACAAGCTTTCACCTCAAATTTAATCCAATCACATATGATTTGTATTACCTTTTGTGTTTGTGGTATAGAGTATGCATCAACAGGAAGAGTCTCCACAAAGGGAGATGTCTATAGCTTTGGAATATTGTTGCTAGAAATCTTTACGGTCTCCACAAAGGGAGATGTCTATAGCTTTGGAATATTGTTGCTAGAAATCTTTACGAGAAAGAAGCCTATTGATCCCAAAGGGAGATGTCTATAGCTTTGGAATATTGTTGCTAGAAATCTTTACGAGAAAGAAGCCTATTGATCCTATGTTTACTGGGGAATCAAGCTTGCGACGATGGGTGAATGATGCAAATCCTACAGGGCTGTTAGATATTGTGGACTGCAATCTCCTGAAAGATGAAAATGGAAATGAAAGGCCAAAGAGCTACTTATTGTGGACTGCAATCTCCTGAAAGATGAAAATGGAAATGAAAGGCCAAAGAGCTACTTAATTTCAACACAGGCCTGTCTATCTTCCATCATGAGATGAAAATGGAAATGAAAGGCCAAAGAGCTACTTAATTTCAACACAGGCCTGTCTATCTTCCATCATGGAGTTGGGGATTATCTGTTCAAGTGACTCGCCTAATGAAAGGCTTGCTATGAAAGACGTCGTCCCACAGTTGCAGAAGATCAAGATGAAGTATATGTCTGAGTCTTGTGCTGCTTGAAACATGACAGTAATGTATTATGAATTTACTTGTATGCATACAGGTTTCTTGCCAGTTATATCAGGAGTAATGAGTATTATGAACTCTGAAGCGACTATGAGAAGCATTTTAGTAACTTTTGTTTTCTAGATTTTGTTGATAGCATATAGTTTCCTTTTATTTTCTCAGAAAAAATATATGATGGTAGTCATCTGTAAATTTCAAGAAAAGTCAATGTACATACTTGTATAAAAGGTGCATCGGGGCTTTTTTTTTCTTTTCCATTGTATCCCTCCTTCATTTACATAATAAATATATTCTCAATATATAATCTATATATAATATTATATATAATAATATATATATAGATAGATATATATATTATAAGTATAATATATATATATATAGATATCATGAGAGAGATCAAGAGACGAAATACGGAAGTGGGAGCTGCCGGCGTAGCGAAATCCTACGTACGCCAGTCAAGCTCTTATTGCTTGGATACACATTTAGAGAACTTAACAGATTTAGAACGCTTAAATTTATAACATAAAACAAAGGCTTGATGAAATCACAAATCTCATACCGCCTTAGGGGGATGTATTGTTTTTGCCCATTTTTTTTTTGGATATAGTAAGTTATGGATGAAAAAGTGCCTATTTTTGGTTTTAAAAATCATAACTTGTTGTCTTCACTCTTTTTTTGCGATATTGAATCCTCAAAATTATAAAACAAAATATTATTATATAGGATTCTGCGAAATCCTCCTCTTGTCCATCTTTTTGCCATATAAGTTTTAAAATCGATACACATCTTGTTTGTTTCATAAACCAATTTTGGGATATCAAATCCCCAAAATATAAAAAACTATTATAGTTTACGCATTGTGAAAATTCTACCCACATTGAGAGAGGCAATCTGTGGACGGTTGTGCATGATGATTCGCATTAACCTGCTATAATATCAAGATTAGATATAAGAATATATATATTAAATATTTTATAATAATAAATAATATTTAATATATATATATATAAATTATAATATATATAAATATATACGATAATATATATATAATATTATATATATATTACTTAATAAAATATATATAATGTATATATATAATATATACTTATAAATAATAATATATATATATAATATATGAATATAATATATATAATCATATAAAACTATATACATATATAAGATAATATATATATATAGATATATTATTATATATATTATAGAATATATAATTAATATATATAAGTATATTAATATACAAATATATATATATTATCAATATCCCACTGTCATGCTGTTAGTAAACTCTACTGTAGCATCATATAATTATATGAATATAATATATACTAATATAAATATGTAGATAAATATTATAGATTTTTAGATATAATATATTATTTATATCTATAATATATAAATGATAGCTATAATATTAAATTATTTTATATATATAATATACATAATATCATATATAATATTATATATATATAATATAAAATATTATATCAGATAAAATATACATAACTATATATAATATAATATAATAAAATATTATATATATATATATATATATAATTATATAATATATTATTTAATATAATAATATAATATATATATTCTCATAAATATAAATCATACTTAAACTATATAATATATATTATATAATATATATAATAATATCTAATATCATATATATATCATATATAACTATATATATATTAGTCATTATATAGACTACTTTATATAATACTATCACATTATATATATATATATCGCCAATCGCTGCACTCCTGTAGAAATGTTGCAGTCAAATTACTCGTAGCAATATTTATATTATATTCACGGTATAATATATATATATATATATATATAATATAAATTATATAAATTATATAAAATAATATATAATTTATATATTACAATATATATTATATATTATATATAAAATATATAATATATCTATAATATTATATATATATATATTATATATTATATAATATATGTTATTAAAATTTTATATAATATTATAATATATAATTTATAGTATTCCAAATCCCAAAATATTGATGAAACAAACAAAATATTACAAGTTTTAGCATTCCAAATCCCAAAATATTGTTGAAGCAAACACAACCCCCTTTATGGATTTCAAATCCTAAAAGCCACATCATTTATGGATTTCAAATCCCATTTTGAAATCCCAAAAAAAAAATCAAAACAAACACCCCCTTATAACAATTGGCTTTCCTAATTATTCCAAAAGCGAATAATTCCCAAAATCCCACTCCTTCATCCTTCGTCATCCCCCTCCTTCCCCAAGCGCCGGCGGCGAATAATTCCCATCACATCCCAAAACTCCCCAGAAAAATTCATCTCTCTCTCTCTCCCCCCTCCAAGAGCCTTCCTGCTCCGTCGGCCAACTCCACCGACCAACTCCGCGAGGCAACGCTGCAAGGGGTGATCTCGAGCTCTCTCTCTCCCTCTCCAGCTATCCCACTCTCGATCTCTCTCGATCCCTCTCTCGATCCGCGAGCCAACTCTGCCGATTTGCAACGCCGCCGACCAACTCCGCGAGCCAACTCCGACGAAGCTAACGCAGGTAAAATCGCGATCTCTCTCTAACGATGGGTCTCTCAATTAATTTGTCCCTTTTGATCCTTTGATTAAAGATTTGAATCTTGAGCCCTAGCATGATGTATTTCTTTTACCCCCAACACTGTCTTTACCACAAGAAATATTTCTCTGGATACAAGAAAAATTACAATTCAAATCAAATCCAAAATTCTCATGAACCTTTTTATAGGTCGCTTTTACAATAGAATGCATTCAATTTCACATTCATCTAGAAAAACCACAAATCTTTACAAGTTGGACTATTGCTTGAAAAAATAGCGGAGCTTAGCAGACTGCCTGTGCCATTCATGGATTGGAACCTGCAAGGTAGAAACAATATGAGAAAAATAAACATTTCATACGCGATGTATAATAACCTGAAAGAGAGAATTTGAATCATTACTGCTGGAAAACCACCATAATCAACGGGTTCTGTAATGTCCTTTATGACACCACTATTTGCTGCAACTCGTATCTGCACCAGTTCAAAGAACGATAATCTAAATTTTAATTTTATTTTAATTTTACAGTTCAAGTTCTACAAACAAGATACTTGAAACATCGGGTTTAGGCAAAAGAATGAAAATTTGCATGGTAAATTGTCAACCCAATTTCAATCGTCTCAGAAAACTGTATATTTATGTCACAAAGAATAATTTGGTCAATTTCTCCATTAGGTAACAATTTTTTTGGAATTTCTCCATTAGAAAACTTTTTGGAATTTTTTGGATTTTTTCTTTGATTTTTTTTGGATCTGGATCAAGAAAAGTTTTTCTTTTTTCTGATTCTGGATCTGTTTTGTGAAAATAAAAATCAAAGAAATTTTTGGGTTTGATCTTTGGTCCCGTGCTCCTCGCCGGCGAAGGTTCGCTGGCGACCTCGCTCTCGACTCCGATGGCGACGGCGGCGTCAGGAAACCCTAGGGTTTCGACCTCTTGGGTGCCGGAGCAATGGCGGCGGCGGTTTCAGTTTGAAACCCTAAGGGTTCGTGCGTGAAAACGTGGCGAACATTAAGGAGGTGGTTACCTCAAATTTTGGCGAAGCTGAAAGCTTCAAACGAACTTCGCGTTCGTTCTCAAGTGAGCATCGCGCTCAAATTTAACCCAACTTCGCGTTCGTTCTCAGGTTGAGCCTCGCGCTCAATTTTTAATGAACTTCGCGTTCGTTCTCAGGTTGATCCTCACGCTCAGTTCTCAGGTGAGCCTCGCGCTCAATCTCAGGTTGAGCCTCGCGCTCAGTTCTCAGTTGAGCCTCACGCTCAATCTAAGTTAAGCCTCGCGCTCAGCTCTCAGGTGAGCCTCACGCTCAGTTCTTAGGTGAGCCTCGCGCTCAATTCAAGTCGAACTCCGCGTTCATCCTCAGGCGAGCCCTATGCTCAATCCAAACGAACCTCGCGTTCGTTCTCAAGTTGAACTTCACGTTCATTTTTCAAACGAACCTCGCGTTCGTTCTCAAGTTGAACATCACGTTCATTTTCAGACGAACCTCGCGTTCGTGCTTAAGTGAGTCTCGTACTCAATACAGTCGAACCTCACGTTCGAAGTCAAGCGAACTTCGTGTTCACTATGGTTAAGTCTCGGCTTTTCATGGGTCTACTTTGGTATACTTAATTTATTCAATTAAGTTATGGACCCTAATTAAGCTGTGAGACCCCAATTAAGTTTTTTGGAAATTCAGTTGATTTAAATTAAAACTTTTTAATTTAAATCTAATTTGGTTTTTAATCAATTATTTAATTCAAATATTATGACACTAAGGTATTAAGATTGTCTCTCACTTCAATTGATTAATTGAAACAAGAAGTTGCCAAAGTAACCTCTCTTGTGTAGATTGTTCATGAGGAATGTGAGATGTTTGTGTGTATGCTTTCGTGTAAATATTTAATCGGCCCAAAGGAAGGTTAATATTTATTTAGACTGTATACACATCTGCGATGATAAGCGTGTGACAATTATAAGGTTTACATGTGAATAATGAATCGATCCAAAGATAGTTTCATTATTTGACATGAGTTATTGTCAATGTTTGATCATTGCAACAAGGTATCACTTACAAGTTAATATTACTGTCCAAAGACTTGATATTAATATTGTGCCAGATATCTTGGATGAGAATTGTCATTATTT